CCCCCCCCCCCAGGAGCAACCTTAGAGTTTGAGTGACACCAGGAGGCTTCACCACAGAACGGCAGAGCAATGCAATACTTGTAACTCCTGTAAATAGCCCATCTTTCAGAGTGATGTCATTTCTACATTTGATATGCTTGTATTTCTGTAGAATGTATATAGTTTAGGAGATATTTTTGTTTGGTTTTGTTTTTTAGAGAAAGTCAACATGTCTGTTTTTATTTATTGCTCGAAAAAGATCATTTGATGAAAAATAAATGCATTTTCAACCACCACTGGCTTGGTTTATTCTTTCCGTGGAAACTGCTGCTGACGACTTGGAAGGGGAGAAAAGATCTGGGTTATTTAATAACCTTGTGCACTTAGTAACATCGACAGTAGAGCCTGGCCAGAAAAATCAGTGAGGCCATTTTTGCTCCCTGAACACCACCACTCAAGGCTGGAGACAGGAGAAGGCTGATAGGAATCTCTAAGGATCTGCTTTCTCTAGGCAGAGTGAGGGACGAGAAGAACTGGGTGATGAACAGGGAGTGTCCTTCATCTGACAATGTGCTTGGTGCCCAGCACAGGACAGAGCGATGCGGATGGCTCCTCTTGGAGGCCCAGGCCCCCTCCGCCAGAGCCTGGCATCCAGTTCAGCAGAAAGCTCTAATTCTCATGGTAGCTCTAGGAAGTAGTTGGCATAACGGGCACAGGGCAGATAAGGAACTTGCCATGGTCACGTGGCTAGTAAGTGGCAGAGCCAGGCTAAGAACTCAGGCAGGTGACGGCAGTGCTGGGGGTCTCCATCCCACAATCTTTGGGGAAACTAGCTGCACTAAAGACTATACTGTCACTTGAACTTCTTGACTCATTTCCATTTTCTTCTAGGATCCCAACAGCATTTGATAGATATAAAAGTAGAGACATAGAGCCTTCAAAGAATTTCCTTGGAGATGTGAAGCAATTTAGTGGTTTCCTGACAACTTCAGCCCCTACCTATTGCCAGTGACTCACACTCATGCTTTGTATCACGGACTCCTGATTTGTAAGCAGAATTAGGAAAGTCAAGGTGAATAGACTTATTTTACAGATCAGTTTTTGGCCAAGTAAAGTATGCCAAGAATCATATAAACAAAATGAAAAATGTTACCTGCATAGTGTCTTAAGCAGAGCTGTTTTATTAACACAATGACAGGTGGGACTTGGTCAGAATGAAGACATACACACCATCCCCTTCCAATTCTGCTTCTCAGTCCAGGTCTTCAGGGTAGATGCCAACCTACCCTGGCCGCTAGGTCCCAACTTAATGGGAACAGATGACCTTTTATTCCTAATGTAGCACCATGTGACCCTTCCACCTGGAGGCCTATTGTACTGTCATGAGGAAAAGTGAAAGGTGCCAAACGATAAAGGTTTACAAGTGCCACTACAATGCGGTGGGCCCGCCATAGCCTGAGAGACACTGGATCACCACCAGGCACTCAATGCGGACAATGTCATTCAAAACCAGTTCTTCAAAATTTGCTGCCCGGGAAGCACCGCCCCTTTACAGTAATATGATTTAGTTTTCTAGGAAGTAATTTTCTGCAGGAGATAAATCCAATCCAGCAAATGATTTATATTCCCCACCCCCTCATACACACTTCCCCTAGTCCCTCCGACCCACAGGAGTTTCCAGCTGTAAAAGCAGGCCCGTGGAATAGTTCAGTAACCAAACCAACTGCTGATATCTTAAGTTGCTTATTTTATATTCCACTTGCTTTTATGCACAGTTCAGATAATTTCTATTTTCTAACACAGCAGTAACCAAAGGGGAGCACCTGAGTCCAATGACATTTAGAATCTGATCTCACAAGACACTGATAGAAGACCATGCAGTAGCGTCACCTCGATGTCCTCATTCCTGCTGCGACACTCCATATACAGTCAGGGTTTGGCGGCGCGTATCAGTAGGTACCATGGTCTACAGTGGAAAGAACTGTGGGATATGAAAGAAATTATTTCACCACTTTGAGTGCCAGTTTCTTCATCTGTAAAATGGGGATTAAAATACCTATTTTGCAGGGCTGTTGGGAAGTATATACAATTACCTGGTTCATCATATGGGCTCAGTGAGAGCTCTTGTTATTTGCAGGGTTGTTAGTGCTTCCAAGTACTTAATTTATGTCTCTTTGAACTCTGACAATCCCTCTGGCAAAGAAATCTGATAAAATCCTAGCTTCCAATTTGCTATCTACTGAATCACTGGGTGTGGAGAAAGGAGAAAATGAAACCATTTCTCAGTCCTGTGTGCCAGGCATTGTGCTGGCATTTCATGTTCACTACCGAGTGAGGTAGGCATCCCCTCTCCCGCCTCCAACATGACCGGTGGAGGGAGGGGTCTCTGAGCAGAGGCTGGGCCGGGCCTCTGGGCTGCCCTGGTAACTGGTGCGAGGTCGGCCTCCATGGTCTGGGCTGCTTGGTTTCAGAGACATTTCTAAAAGGAACCTGTGCTTCTGCTGTTGCTGAACTTCACTAACCCCCGTGGGCTCAGAGGCAAGGAAAAGGCACTCTTGGCACAGGTCACACTAGCAAGACACAAGGGAAATGGTTGTCTGGATTCTGACAGGTCAGGTCAGTTGAAATTCAAATCAGGTCAGTTGTGTTAAGGTTGGTCAGGTAGAAAGGAGTAAACGGGGAAATGAAAACACTTCAGAGCTAACTGCTGTCCACATACAGGATACTTTAAAAATGTTTTTATTGAATATTAAACAATTACAAGTACTGTAAGTTAGACATTTAGCCAAAGCACAATTACAGGTTAAATATAGTCATAAAGATGCCTTAAGTAGGAACCCACCACGAGGCAGGCTAAGTTCCTCACTGCCCCCTTTTGGAAAGTAGAGGGTGCTGGAGAAAAGGTCTCCGTTCCACGTGAAAGACAGCGAAGACTAGAGGAACTGACATGCTGTAAGCCATTGTCCATGACCAAATTGATGGGGTTGCCAGACTCAAATAAAATACAACAAAGCAAAAACTGGGATGCTCAGTTAAATTTGAATTTCAAATAAATAATTAAGAATTTTTTATTGTAAATATATGACGAGTAATGCACAAAACATAGTTAAGCTAAAAAATTATTTACCTGAAATTCAAATTTAACTGGGTGCCTTGTATTCTATCTGGCAATCCTATAAGTAGACAAATGCAGAAAAGAAAGGGGAGGGGACCGAAACCCCTGCCAATGGTGGGTCACACAGAGACTAAAATAAAAACAACAGCAATAATGAACCAGAGTCACTACACTGGTACCACACAGACCACAACACAATGAGAAAATACAAGTGTACGCCAAATGAGGTGGCCAGGAAACTCTTGATTTCCAAGCTGGTTTGTAAATATTTTTGAGAAACCTTCTTGATAAAAGTACCTTTTAGTTTGTAGGTATCAAAGACAAACACTACTATCACAGAGACAGGATGAACTTGAAACAATGGGAGCAGGAGCAGGCACTATATATGCACATGAAGAGTTTAAATATTTTGTGTAATGCATATAAGGGTTATATAGTCAAGGTCATCTTCTAGGTCTAGGCTGTCAGCCTCGCAGATTTTGGTTCCTTTCTAATTTTACTGTTGTTTTCTCTAGCTTTTTTATCCTGAACCTTGGGAGGGACAAGGAGTGTGTAAGGGACACCCCACTATCAGAGTTTTACTGAATTTCTCTGCAAACACTGTCAGGGCTATCTGCAGAAATGGGCAGGCAGATGAAAATTAACAAAACCACCTGAATTCCGGAGAATGAGAAATCTGTTTGAAAAGATGGGTGGCAGGGTGAGTGTGGAGATACGATAGAGTAAAACAGAAAAGAGACTATGAAAGAATGAAGAGCCAGAGTGCAACCGCGTCTGCGGTGTATTTCAAAGTAGGCACAGAGCTGCCGCACCACGAGCATATCTGGCCTTAGCACGGAAAATCTTCAGCTTCCTACTGCTTCTCACTTATCACCATGGCTTATATTTTAAAATGACTGAAAAACAGCTTGTGCAACACTCAGATTCCACAGGGTATCGCTTGTGAGATGTTGCTGTGTCCCCACATACACAAAACTTAATAGTTTTGAAATCTTTCTAGCATTTCTCCAAACCAGGTGATCTGGTAGCTGGGAAATTTCAGGCAGAGAGAAACTGGAATGGGCTGGTTATATCAGCTCCTTTGCATGGGAGGGAGCATGACTTATGAAACACACCCTCCACCGAATAACAGCTGTGAGATACACGGAGACATACCCGGCTCACTGACACCTTTCAGACACTAAGAAATGGAATTACAACTTTTTATGAGGATATAAAAGGTTTAAAAGTTCCTGCCACAGTTAAGGCTTTCTTAAGAAGAAATATTTAATTGTTGATTAATTTCAAAATTCAGAGTCTGAAGAAGCCTCACCTTTAAGGATGGTTTTAAAATAAATGCATTTCCTTGTCATACTCTAGATGTGTCCAACCAAAGCTCAAACATCTTCACAATTACTTTCTTTTCATTCCTCTGCCACTGATTTGACACCAAAGAAGTTTAATTTTAGTCTTGCAATAGATTTCTGACACATGAAACCCTATATTAATGTCAGTTTTTAGTGTTGCCTCAATGACTAAAATCTCTTTCATATGCAAGATAATAACAGACCCAAAGAAAACTGTCACACCATGGCCATTTTTGGTAAGAAGGCTGTTTATCACAGATTATCACATAAATGGGATCTGGACACACTGAGGGAAAGGTGCTTCAAAATATACACCATTCCTGTTTCAAAGGCAGTTTACAGAAATCCAGAGAGTGCATGTTTAAAAAGAGGGTGAGTGACATCCAATAGCCACCGTGCAACTGGGAGATGTACCGAAATAGAGAAAAACCTAGACAACTCATTGCATTCTAATGCTGTCCTTCCAGAGCTCACCAATTTTTTTTGTATAAAGGCCATAATAATAGAATATATTACTTGCCCAGCCAGGCATGGCTCAGCAGTTGAGCATCGGCCTAGGATCCAGGGGATTGCAGTTTGATTCCCAGTCAGGGCACATGCCCGGGTTGTGGGTTAGATCCTGGGGGTGTGCAGGAAGCAGCCGATCAATGAGTCTCTAATCATTGATGTTTCTATCTCTCTCTCCCTCTCTCTTCCTCTCTCTGAAACCAATAAAGAATATTAAGCTACATTACTTTATTTGCCATGTTCAGGCATTTTCTCTATATCTATCAATGCACTTTGCTATTTTGGGAGCAGAGGGAAATTAGTCTAGCCACCAACATCAGGCTCAAATGAACACCAGGATGCTATTTCATGAAAACATCCTAGTATAGTTAATTCTATCTCTGTTATTGAACAGCTAGATATTCCAAATTTCAAGAAGGAAGAGGTAAATAAAAATCCTGGTTGTACTGCTATTATTTTGCACAGAATTAAAACTCTGGGTTCCATGCGTTGTTTGTTAATGGAGTGGCAGACTCTTCTGAGCAGAGCATGAGGCCCAACACCTGGGTCTGGTTGTGATATGGAACCAGAGAGGCACAGTCTCCTTCTGCAAGACTCCAAATGAAGAAAGGAGGAAAATGAGCGGGGTTAAAGGTAATTGTTGGCGCTAATTACAATTCCAGACCTGCAATCTGCGGGAAGGAGAGGAGGCCCAGGAGGGGGAGCACGTGCCCAGTCCAGAGCACCTAACTTATGCCTGATTCAAGCATCCAGGCTGGCCAGTGCCTAGCGAACTGGAAGCGTCCTGTCCAGAGCCCCCTGATGTTGGAACTGCCGTAAAGCTGGAGGCGGTGTCCAGACTCTCCCTCTCATTCAGTCTGGTAACAGAAGGGCCAGTTTAGGGGAGGCCACATTGAAAGTCCTCAACTTGCTAGTGTCTGCGTAGTACATATTTGAGAGCTTAAATATGTTCAGCCTAAATATTTCAGCCTAATTCAAAGCCATGCTTTACATTCCAAAGGGTTTTTCACACCGCAGTAGATGGAAATTCCAAATGTAATCAACTTTAGCTAATTTGAGTACACTCATGATGACCTTTGGTTTTCAAGTTTTGAAAACATGTATTTGGTTCCTGTGAGATATCAATGAACCCATTCTCTTTAGCAGATGAATAATATGTACACATTCTTCCAAGAACTACTACATACCTGAATCACTACGAGACAAGCAGCACTGCAAATGTCTTCCTTACACAGTACCTTTACTCGGCACACGGGACATACGATACATACATCGGCAGTTTAAATATTGAACCACAGTTTAACTTCTCAAGTGTAAGGCTGAAGTTTAAAACTGGCACATCCATTAATCCAGTTACGATGGAAATGACACATAACCACAGTCGGGTAGTGGCTTATGTTTTTTAAAAAGCTGTAAAGCTTTCAGTATCTATACCATATTAACCCTTTTACTTAACTAAAAATCACAGCTGTGTTTACCATTTTAAATTATGTCTAAATGTGGAAGTAAGTAACATACACTTTCACAGCTACTGAAAACTACACAGATGCCAACTCCTTCGACCCACTGTTACACAGCAAACAAGGAAAGGAGGAACAGCCTCTTACTGGACAGCAAACTTCGAAGCTCCGTGTGGGATTCTAGTGCTATTAAAGTAGCCAAGACATGAACAACAGCCTGGGCCACTAAGACTTCAACTGAAGCAAAAACGGAGGCTAATTCTTGATTTAACTTTGAGGACTCAGGCAAGAGTCAGCTACAAAACTCTAACTCCCAGTGCCTACTGCTAGCAAATGGACTTGAGCCAGAAAGAAAGCAAAGTGTATATTTTAAGAGCCTATTCTAGAATTTTTGCATGTTAACTATTTTATTTTTCTTTAGGCGATTAAATGAGGTCACAGCTTAATCAGCCTGTATTGAAAACGAATTAGCTTCCAGGACTTAAAGTTGACATGGCAAGTCTGTGTCATCCCGTCTTCCTTTTTCCCCTCACATTACTTTGCTTCACAGCTGAGCAGGTGCGCAGCAGGTCAAATAAAAAAGGAACGCACTCCTCTGATATTCAGTTAAGGTGAGAAGAGAAGGGCGAATGGAAGAAATGTGATAGATAACTTTTACAAGTGTCTATGCACTTGGCAAATGTTGATTAAAATAAGCAAAACAAAGTAGTAATCTCATTAAGTAACCTGTGGTATTTCTCTACCTTCACTAAAAAAACAACTGAAAGCTTTGGTTTCAAGTTTTTGTTCTGGTCTATTAAAGATGATTGCAGAAATCATTCAAAAATTTAGTGCAGGGACCTATTAAATGATTTGAAGCACCTCACTCAAAATAAACTCCAAATCTGGAGTAAATAAAACAGTTCTTGCATTTGTGCCTATCTACCTGCTAAACAGGATTTAAATCCCAGCTTTCTAACCTAGAGAAACAATAAAGAAATATTTTTGTGTCTCCAATGAACACAATAATTTGAATTTGGAAATAAGGCAGTTAATTTTGAGGTGACAATTCTGGTGGTGTGGATTAAATGAGAGGATTTTCTCTTTGAGGAGTCCCCACAGTCCTTTCTGCCAAAACAGTGAAGAACCACATGCTCCTCGCCTGGGAAGCAGCTTCTCCTTCGCAGCTCTCCCTGGCTGTCTCATCTCCAGGCTAGATGACAGCGCCCTCCACACCTCTCCCTGGCTGTGCTCCTCGGGGCCCCGGCACCGCCCTGACCACCTCTGAAGCAGGCTTGTACTGCAGCGAGCAATGGCCCTCCCTGGCTCTGCCTCTCTGACCTTGGGAGCTCCCAGTCAGGATGATGTCTGTGCCTTTCCCTTGTAAGACTGGCCAATTAATAAAAGGACTGAAGCTTGATGTTTTTCCTTCCCATCTCAATTTATAAGAAGTACACATATAAAATAAATCAAAGTGAAAAAAAAAGTGGAAACGAGTCTTGCTCAGCCAGAAGCTTGGGTTGCATTGCTAATGATTTTAGTCAGTGTGACTTCGTGCAAAATATCCTCAAGAAGGCTCCAGCTCATTATCAGAGTAAGGAAAAAAAAAAGCCAATGATGCCTGTTTAGAAAAAACTAAAACTGAGCCTGGGTATGCATACTTGTTATATACATGCGCCGAATGTAACAAAGCAAATGTAGTGTGTGAATTGTGAACATTTGGGAACGTATTGGTTGTTTTCTTTTTTCCATTTCCAAGTCTAGATCAAAGCGATCTTATTTTAGAAATGGGTAATTGCAATGGAAGTGAGCCTGAGATATATTAAAAGGCCGCCCCTGTAAACATTTCCTCAAAGGGAACAGCAGCAGTTGAGTATGTATCAGTTACTCATACTATATTCATCACTATAGCAATGCTTCGTAAAGACAAACAGCTCATCTAGGCTGCCAGGGATTTATAGAATATCGATTTTGTTGGAAACAGTTCATTAGCGTCCAGTCCCGGGTTTAAATCCGATCTGGCCTTTACCAGTGGGCATTCACTAGGTCTTCTGCTCAGCGGCTGTTGCAGTCTGTGAAGGAGCTTCTGGCTTCATGATCTGGTACGTGATCAGATACTCTGGGTATGCCTGGAAAGGAAAGGAAGAAAAACAGGTCATCCTTTGGTAGCTTCGGTATTAAAGCCTGATTTAATGTGGAAGCCTCAGAGCTGTTGATTCCAACCGGAATTCCACTACATACACTCAAGAGCCTACAAAGGCCAGCTCATACATAGGTGCCTGAATGAGGAGATCCACCTATATATCTGCATATAAACATGTATAGATCCTACAATCTAGCAACGCTAAAATGTTATTTCTACTTTGAATACTGTAAATGGGTTATACTACATTTATCCATGATTAGAGCAAGATGCCTTAAATGAGAAAAACGAGGCAAGGGAAGCCCCTCCCTTGTTCACTTCACTTAGCACAGTGCTCAATATAGTGGGTGTCCCATAAGTCTGCTAAATGAAGTAATTCTGCTGAACTAATTTCACATTCATCAGATGGTGTAACCCAATGAACTAGAAGGAGTCACCAGTGATGTAGAAGCAACAGTTTGAAGATAATTTTTAAAAGACATCCAAATATGAAAGAAATTATATTTACCATAGATAACTTATAAAACATTGAAAAGTGTATGGTAAAGAAAACTGAAATCACTTATAATCTCAATAAGTAGAGATAACTAACTACTCTAATGTTTTGATTGATTCTGCATTTAATATCTATCATGTAAATGCATTTTTTAATGTCACAGGCATATAACTATGCTAATATTTATTAGGTCATTTTCTTTTTGTTGAATATTCAGGTATAAATTTTTCATTATGGTACAACAATAATGAATATTCTTGCAGGTATTTTGTGACCATCACTGACTGTATTAATACAAATTTCCAGAAGTGGAATTACTGAGTCACAGTGAAAGAAGTCTGGGGTTTCTAATTTAAACAAAAAACTGACAAATTTATTCTTTTGTAGCTTTCTAAACTTTTTATTTGGAAACTACTCCAAACCTACACATTAAGTTGGAAAAATGGTACAAATCCACTTATTGTCAAGGTTTTATTTACCCCACTTGCTTAATTATATGTGCTTTCTCCTACCTCTGTATATACCAGGCAGACAGACAGACAGATACACAGACACTCTTCTTTCCTGAACCACTTGAGAGTAAGTTACATATATCATCATGGTTTTTTACCCCTAAATATGCCAGAATTTATTTCCTAAGAAGGGGGATATTTTCTTACATAAGCAGAGGATCAATCTTATTTTTCATATAGGTAGACTTTTATCTATCTACCATTCACATTCCTATTTTGCCTGTTGATCTAATAATGTCCTTTTACTTCAAGTACCAGATCTAATTTGGGGGCAGGACATTAAGTTAGTTGTCCTGTCTCTTGGGTTTCATTTAATCTGGAAAGTTTTCAAAGCCTTTCTTTGTCTTTTATAACATTGACATTTCATACGTTTTTTATTAATAGGACAATCTTCATTTTGGTTAGACTGAGGTTATATATTTTTGGCTGGAATGCTACACAGATAATAGGCGTGTCTCAGAATGTCACATGTGGAGGCACATCTATGTCTGTCTGTCCCTCATTGGTGATGTTCATTCTGATCATTCAATCAGGTATTGCCCTCTTTTCTCCAATGTATAATTACTATGATTTCCCCCCCTCCTTTCTAACTAATAAGAAAACCATGCAAATATCCTCTCCTTGTGAAAATTATTCCCTAGATTTGGCATCCATTGAGGATTCCTGCCTGATCTAGTTTTTATCACAATGGCTGCAAGATGATGATTTTTACAATCCAGTCTGCCCTAAATATCCACCCACCGGCCCTTTGCTTTCTACTGTAAGTGAAAGCCTTCCTTTCCCCTTCACTTATTTATCTATTTGTTATCAGTAGAGAATTATGACTCCCTATTTTGTCCAATGGTTTAAAATTTATTACTATGCTTATGTGTTCAGTTGTCCCAGATCTGGCCGGTGGTATTCCCTTCACGCTAGCTAGGTTTCCTTGTGACATGCCCTCATCATTTTTGTTTTTGTAGCACTTCATTACTTTCTGGCTTTCCAGATGTTCCAGGCTCACCTTATTCCTTTTCTGTGCCAGCCCTGGAATTAGCTGGTTTTCCAAAGGGCCCAGGATCCTCTCAGTGGGGAATGGAATCATAGATGAAGATCTGGGCTCTAGGTGCACTTACTGCTACTGGAGGCTCTTTGCTCTCAGAAGACAAATACACGCACATATATACTCATATGCATACACATGCTCACATTACTCTTACACACAAACCTATACATGAACATATTTATGTGTGTACATACATGACATATTAGAAACCATGAGTTCACAGCAATACCTCCACTTTGAGTCCATCCCCACAGTCACTCTTACCTTCTCCTATTCCATATCTATAGATCCTTTCTGACAGTGACAGCTCCAGCTCCCCAAATTAACACATTTACTCATTCGCTCAATCCCGTGATACACTTAAGAGGGTCGCCGCTTTGCCTGTACCCCCCAATCAACAGACCTACCAAACGGAGCTCAGGATTTGCTGGTATTATCCCCCCTCCCCACGTGGTTCGAGACCGATGGCATATAACAGAATACTGTTCTCAGAGGTCACCTGCATTTAGTTAATTTCTTCTTTCTCCTTTTTTTCTCTTCTCCATCAGCGAAGTTAAGTTAGACAAATTGATTTTTGTTTCAGAAAAATTGGTAGGTATTTATCAGTACTGTGAGAGTTAAGGACTGGGTTGAAAATGATAGGAAGTGTTGCTGCTGGTCGACAATTTCACTTTGGGGCCTCAAGCAGTTGGCAGGATTCAATGTACTGCAGCTTTATGACTCTAAAAGCGATCATTCTACGTAAGTACCATGATCAGAAGTACAGATGGTCCCTTACTTAAAATTTTTTCACTTTACAATGGTGCAAAAATGATATGCATTCAGTAGAATCTGTACTTGGAATTGTGATCTTTTCCCAGGCTAGTGATCTGTGGTCCAAAGCTCTCTGTGGCGGGGCAGCGAGCCACACCAGCCAGTCACCCGCGGGATCATGAGGGGAAACTACCCGTGCCCTACAGCGTGCTGTGTCGCTGGTGTTTCTTCACCCATCACATCTACAAAACACCCACCTGAGTGCCAGTGTGCATTCAGCTATGTAAGTTAACGGTGAGCTTAACCATTCTTATTTACTTTCAGTAGTGTTCAATACATTCCAACAGGTATTTAATACTTTACTATAAAATAGGCTTTGTGTTAGATAATTTTGCCCAGCTGCAAGCTAGTATGTCTTCTGAGCATGTTTAAGATAGGCTACACTAAGCTATGATGTGCAATAGGTTAGGTGTATTAAATGCATTTCCGACTTACAGTATTTTCAACTTATGGTGGGTTTAATGGGATGTAACCCTATTGTAAGTCGAGGAGCATCTGTATAGAGATTCAACTCATGTGACCAGCCTGTGGCAAGTACACCCATGAAGAAGATCCACTCAATGACACTGTTCTGAGCTCTCCACTGCCATGCTGGGGCACAAAGGATACAGAGCATTAATTCAGAACAGCAGGCCGGAGGCACAGCATGAGACCCCACACCCTTCTCTCTCAGCTGCCCTCTTGTTCACACTGTTACTTGGCTGACAGGTGACTGATGGGTTCTGTGTGTAAAGTTGATGTGAAAGGATTTTAGTATCTTCATTTTGACCTAAAACAACTAATGCTATCAGACTATGTTGTGGGAATTTTATTAAATGGCTTTCTTTAACTCTTATGTGGTCTCCATATTCTGCACTGTCATGTTCGGTAACTGTGTATGCTCTAATGAGTTCTCAACATACCTGCTCCCCTCTGTAGATGACGTATTCGGCATACGCCAGCCCGTTCACACTTGGTCTCCCAATGACTGAGTGATGTCCTGGCGGGGCGTGAGCCATTTTCATGGTGCTGAATTGCAGAAAGGACTTTCCAAGGGTCACTCGACAGAAAAGCATTTGTCTAAAGACAAGAGGAAAGCAATGCTTTAAAGGAAGCTTTAAATCTTGACATGACATAATTGTTAGGTTAGTTGATTTGAAAAAATTTAACACAAGGCAAGTTAATTTAAATGTCCCTTTCATATTTATGAGTAGAAATGGGATGAGATTTGATATACTGATTTACCATAAACAGTAGGCTCAACAGTTAATCTTAAAGTTTAAAGCAGTTTTGGTGTGGTTTAGAAATCAGTCACGAAAAATATCTGGCATGTTGACAGTGAAAAAGAAAAATACTAGTGAACACCAAGTTCTTATATGGAAAGACAGGAAAAAAGTGAAAAAATAAGCAAATGGTTAACAGCATTTGAAGTTAAGATTTGGTTTTACTCATTATGAAGTAAAAACTGGGATGGGATAAATAACAGCAAGAGTGGATCATATATGAAACATATTTGCTTAAACATAAGGTGTTGACAATTATACTACCTGGATGAAACATGAACTGGGGGCAGATGTTAAACACTATACAGAAGAAAGGCTGCTAGGGAAGCAATTGTGTTAAATAAACCAGGGGTTGGCAAACTATGGCTCATGGGCCAAATCTAATCTGCTGCCTGTTTATTTTTGTTTTTAATATATTTTTATTGTTGACAGTATTACAGATGTCCCCTATTTCCACCCTCTCCGTCCAATCCCTACCCACCCCCAATGCCACCTGTTTTTGTAAATAAAATTTTATTGGATCACAGCCACATACTCATTTACATATTGTCTATGGCTGCTTATGCACAATAAGGGCAGAGTTGAGTCATTGTGACAGGGATCATATGGGCTGCAAAGCCTAAAATATTTATTATGTGGTTCTTTAAAGTTTGCCAACACTTACAATAAACATTTAAACTAAACAGTAAGACTGGTCACACTGTTAAATGTAAATAGTTATCATTCAAATAGTTTGTTTTTAGTCTCAGAGATTATTTTCTGCCAATTAAAAACTGTGCCACACCCAGTACAATAGGGTCCTTCCCAGGCTGGCTGCTTCAGTGTGATGCTACTACTGATGACCCCCTGGGATGCTGGCTTGGCTGCAACCGCATTCTCGTCAAAACCCAAAGGAAGGGTTTTGATCGACGTGAGAGGGAGGTTTCTGAGCTCCATCCCCTCATTGTGGCAGCTCTGTGGTATCACTGGACTCTGCCTGCTCGGTTGGCTGGGCCCAGTGCCACGGCCACTCCCAGTCCGTATGTCACACAAAGCTGTACCCGACAGGCCTTGCCTCCTACCTTCTGCTTCCTGCCCCAGGGCTTTGCTGTTGCTGTAGAGGTGGGAGAAGCAGCAGGACCTGCCCAGCGGGCCCCTGAAGCTGCAGGGCATAGTACGTAGATGGAGCACCGGCTCCAGCAGGCTCAGAGGCTTGCCTTGAGCATTCTGCAGCTGCAGCAACCCAAAATAGGAGGGGGCGGGGCACCAATGGCCTGTGGCACAAACGTTGACCAGTGCAAGCCAGGAGCGAGCAGATAAAGTGAGCTCTCTTCTCCCGTGATGTACCTACCACTGTTCTGCATCAGTTCACAGGGCTTCTCTAAAGATGTCTCATGAACTGAAAACCAAGTGCAGTTGTCCTGAAACTGTGGCCAGCTCCTGATGGGCCTCAGTGGATTCTGCCTCCTCCTTGACCTCACTGCTTTTGTGCCCTCACTCCTGCTTCCCTAGGATTGCACCTGCCAAGAAAGTGCTGGTGTATAAGCTTTTGCTTCAGGCTGCTTTCTAGGGAATCCTGGCGAAGACATCAACCTGTTTCTAATTTTAAGGAGCAACTGTTCATCCTCATCTAGGTTCACTTTATTGCTTATTTTGGTTCATTTTGTTTCCAGAGGAGTTAGGTTTGAAGCAACAGAGACTTCTGCATGTTACATATTCTTGGGCATTTTTTTTTGTGTTACTAACCACAGCAGACTTAATGAAAAGAAATTTCCTTCTGGACATATGGCATCCATCTTAGAACTGCTGAAGGCTACAATTTGTTTCAGTGTAACTGAGAATGGTAAATTTTAAGGTCAACAATTATAATGAATTTCAAGGTTATATGGGTCTTTTTTGAGGTTTTAACTGAATTACAAGATTTCTTATTAACCCAATTTTGGAAAAATAATATACCTGGTTAACTTAAAGAGAAATGCAATAAACTGCAATTTTTGTAAAGTATAATTCCTTGTATATTTTTCTACTGGCAAGAAAGGGAATGGGGAAGAGACTAGGGAAGGGATTTTTTTCTCACTGACTTCAGAGAGAGTATACTATTACTCTTTCCAATATCTGAGTTTTAAAGTCCTATTTAAAAAGCTAATATAGCCCAGCCGGGCATGGCTCAGCGGTTGAGCGTAGACCTAGGATCCAGGCGATCGGGGTTCGATTGCTGGTCAGGGCACATGCCCGGGTTTTGGGCTCGATCCCCAGCAGGGGGCATACAGGAGGCAGCCGATCAATGACTCTCTCATCATTGATGTTTCTCTCTCTCTCTCCCCCCCTCTCCTTTCCTCTCTCTGAAATCAATAAAGATATATTTTAAAAAATAAAAAATAAAAAGCTAATATACATTTGTTTAATAGTCCCAAAGTTAATATTCTGAAGCTGGACTTTTTAAGGCCAATTATATATCCTGCCTTAAAACACTACTAGCAATATCAGAAGCACATTAAAAATTCTACTTGTTTATAGAAGTTGTGTGTCTTAGTTCCAGTGCGACTCTAGTCAGAGCTAGAGGTTCTTTGTTCTAAAGAAATAATTATGACCCTTTTCTTGCTCTTATTCTGAAGCAAGAAACGTGAAGCCCAGGGAAAAAGCCAAGACGGGGGGAGTTTCCTTGTAATTTATGACTGGCTGACATATATCTGTTTTGTTTTTAAAATATTTTTATTGATGTTTAGAGAGAGATGAAGGGAGAGGGAGAGAGAAACATTGATGCAAGAGTGAAACTTTAATGGGCTGCCTCCTGCATGCCCCCAACTGGGGGTCAAGCCTGCAACCTGGGCATGTGCCCTGACCGGGAACTGAACTGGCGACCTTTTGGTGCCTGGCATGATGCTCAGCCATCCTGGCCAGGGCTGTATCTGGTTTTCATCACCACAAACATCTGCCCTGTTGTCAGTGCTCCTATTAGGCTCATCAATTATCCCTACCTAATTCCCAATCTGCCTGATTCATTAGGATTAAGGTTGAGAATTACCTGTGACTTCTGCACAGCCTGAGAAACAAATCTGGTTCATGACCCGATGATAGCAACCGTTCCATGAAAGCCAAGATGCTCACCTGTGACATATATAACATGACCGATCTTTGTGCGTGGGGCAGCCTGTTCCTCCTCCAATCCCATAAACATACTGGTTGCTTTTAGAGGAGTTTTCAGCAAAATAAATCCCAGCACCAAACATTCCTCCTATGTACGCATGTCGCTCATCAAACCCTTTATGAATAATGGCATTAATGAAAGGAGAACCTAAAGATAAAAGATAGAAAAACTAGTTTTGAATACTATTCTAGAATATCAACTAGCTACACATTGGCACTTGGCAGGTTGATATTAAGTAATTAATAATACATAACTCAAAAATTTATTTTGTAAGATGTCTATTACCATAAATTATCATGTACTAGAATCTTATCAAGGACCAATAGTGCTCGTCTAGCAAAGATGTTATTTTGCAGATGGCATGAGATTTTGGCTTTGAAAATACAGTTCTGAAACAATTTTAGATAACTAGTTTTCATTGTACATGCCTTAAAAGGCCCGTACAAGAATGTAATGCATTAGAAAACTGGAATCAGCATGTAATTATTGGAAAAAAAATCAAAAAGAAGCAATCATTTTTAACAGAAGACTAATACAGTCAATAACACAGGTTTTCATTTTGCTGGAATCTATGAAAGCCCCAGGGATGTCTGTAAATACCGTCTGACACTCACCATGAAATAACATGCGCTCATTGTGATGGTTGTGATTCTCTTCAGACACTTCCTTTTGTCTGTGACAGAATCTTTCCCTCAACTTCTTGTTGACAACCTTTTGAATCTTTAAGGGTGAGGAGGAAAGAAGCAATCGAGGGTAAGGTATATTAATTGGCAGCTTACAATTTAAAATGAAAAGCATGTTTTCCTAGAGGAAAACCCAACTTTTGTTTTGTTTGCTTAAAACATTATTTAAAAATGAAAAGCTGCTTGGTCTGTGTAATTCAGTTAATACTCGAGGAAGAGGAGGGGAGGGGGAGGTTAGTGCTAGGCTGCTTGCCGTTCTTTTGAATTTTAGGACACAGCAAGGAGGGGGCTGTAAATCTGTACTTTGCAAAAAGCTCCCTGGGTAATTCTGATGTGTGCTGATATAACTTCCACAGGTCTATTAACCCAAAGGGTGACATCAGTTTTCAACACACTTTATTCGTCTACCTGGTATCCCTTTGAAGCAAAGCATACAGCAGTTATCTATCCCATATTATTAATTAAGATACTGAGATGAAGAGATATTTGCATTCCAATATAATCACTGACTCAATTAGATTGAAAAATCCGGGCCTTTAATGCTACTTTGAAATAGTGATAACAAAAATCATTGCGAGCTATAGTCTGAATTTATGGATAAGCAGGGAGTCTCATCACGTATCTGCACCACCAGTACCAGCTGATCTAGCCTTCTGTGTCAGCTTTGGTGCTGCCTGGGTGTCTCTACTTCTAATGAAGTATGATCTTGAACTGTAGTGAGGAGGGTGACACCTGACTACAGGGCAACAGGTGAATGATTATCCTTGAGTTTGAAAATATAACTTAAAAAACAATTTTAATCATTGTCTGTATTTGATTTTCAGGAAGCCTTGCAATCCAATTTTCACCCTGAAATTTTAAAAACTTACTCGAATGACATTGTATCTGTTGAAGATGCCGCCGGCATTACCACCATCTCTGTGTTCTCGAATTGTACTTTGCATCTGCAGAAAAAAATAAAATAACCAACTTTCTGAAAATATGCCAACGTATATTCTAAAAGCACTCCCCCTTCCGTTGTTTTCAACATTTCAATTCTATTACACTGTTTCACTGATGAATCTAAGATTTAGCACTTAAAAATAAATACGAGTCCACTATAAATTCAACAAGTTTAGTGGGTATTTCTGATGAGAGAATAGTCATAAACATATATTAAACACCTGCATTTTCTTTCTATTTTCTAAGAAAAGCTTTGAAAGATTTTTCTGTAAACACAATGGGGAAACATAAAATATCACATTAAGTCACTTACATTTCTATTTTATGTTATTGAGAATGGAAGCAGCATCGTGACTAAGCCAAACTAAAACTCCTCACATTCAATTACTACCCCACAGGACAAGTGCTAAAAATTTTAAAAAATCAATATATTTTTGTTCTCTAGGTGACATATTCCATATTATCTCTTTAACTTGGGATCTCCACGTATATCAACACAGACCAGGGGAAGTTGAATACCATGTATAACTAAGTGGAATAACTTTCTTCCAAACACCACTCATCCTTCTTCCACTTTCCAAATGAAAAAGAATTACTATGGAAACGTAAAATGTTTTGAAGACCTAAATTTCTCATAGAATTGACTCAAAGAGTTAATTCTCCAATTCACCACTCCATTTGTGAAGTTATTCACCACATTTTGACATCATTATCAAATTTATTAACTATTAAAAGATTGGGCAATAAGACACTTAGGAGACATGATGCTGTCCTGAAAAACCAGCTAAGTATGAGCTGAAACTACCCTAAGGTAATTGTCCTGAGTTTCCAGGATGGGAATAATATGAGCACTAATTAAAAAGCAGAAAACAAACAAAAATGTAGGCATGCCTTTCTACACAAAATAATGCCACTAGGCACTTTATTATGTCAGAAGTGAGGCAGAAGCCACCAGTAGAGACAGAATCTCTATGGTACCTGTCTACCAGGAGGTTTGTACACACCGCCTTACAATGATGCTTTAAAGTCATTGTGACTAGAGAAATGGAAGGTAACTTAAGTTATGAAGCATACTTTCTAAGCATATGTGAAAATTAGGCATATTATTTTATAATCATGTTTTATAACGCTGCACAAAAATCAAGAGAATATATTTGCTATCTATGAGGCAAGATTCTCACTCCGTATCATTCTTAGGTAGCACTTTAGCAATAAAAAAAATAGTTCTAATAGGGTACTTACCCACATGAGTTTCAAGAAAGTCTTCAGAATGAAAAGACAGATCTGAACCATCCACTGGAAACCCTAGGCTTAGGATGTGAAAGCCACGAGGCATAGTTCTAATCCATAGTCCTATTTTAATTTTGGCTATATTCCACCACAGTGGCTAAGGGAGATAGTTTAACCACAGATTTCAGGGAAAGATAACTAAAAATTCTCATGTACATTACCTCTTCTTCTACTGACTGATATTCCTTATCCTCTGGAGCAAGATCCAGCAAAATAGTTCCCTGATTAACACAGTGAAAAGTCAAATAAGGGTTGGTGCCTGCAGGAAAGAAAAATTAACAGAGTTAACAGAAGTCCACACAATTCAGGCTCTGTTTTAGGGAAAACTTTGTCATAATTGATATTTTGGAAGAAGTCTAAACTATTTGCAATTTGAACCTAATATGTAAGGATATATAAACAAGTACATCCAAAGACATGTGAAATAATGAAGACGTGTTTGGGGATCAGTTTTATCTGTTCTTAAAGAGTTTCTTGTATACCCAGCAGGGCTCAATAATTACTTGCCGAACTATATTTAATTACGAACATTCATGAAGTTATGCTTGATATAAAAGAGAAACACACTGTAATTACAATGTAGTCAGGTCTAAAATGTAAGAACTGTCCTTTTCTAAAAACTCTGCGAGATGGCTTGAAATGGTCATTTATAATAAGTCTGAAATAATTATTCTTGTTAATCTCATTTAATAGAGATAAATAAGCAAGACTCAAGCTCAAAATCGCTAAGGTTTAGTTTCACGTAATTCTTGCAATTCTATTAGCTCTGCAGACTGACTACTTGATGTTGTTTTTTTTCTCTCCTCTTGCTTTTCTACAGTGAAAGCACTTCTAACAGAGAAATGAACACGGAGGCATAAAAGGAGTATGATAGGAGGCTTGCAATAGCAAAGTCTGATGGCAAAGGACTCTCACAAGGCGACAGGCATAAGGGAGGGAGGAACGGTCAAGGTGAGGTTAAGAGAGAAAGGTCAGATTATGAAAAGCCATGTTGGGAATGTCTAATTTTATCCTAAAAGCATCAGGATTCAATTGAAGGATTTTAAGCAATGAACCGAAATGATCCCATAGTCATGTTGAAAGGAGCCTTCTGGTTACATTGCAGGGAAGGTACTGGAAGGGAGACAAAGGTGAAGGTCGAGGATAAGCTGGAAGGTGGTTGTGACATTCCAGGAGAGAGATGATGCTGATTTGGATTAGGTGACAGCAGTGGGAAAGGATGGAAGTACAGATTGCAGAGATATTTAAGATACAGAGTGTGGGGAGAGGGGGGAAAAGTGACTCAGTTCCAGCCACAGCAGTTAGAGGGAGAGCGGTGCCAGTACATGGGATGGGGAAGGCAAGGGGTGTACCCCAGCCGAGTGCATGAACTCTGGGGTCAGACCACCTGAGTTCTGACGCCAGCCCTGTTGTTTATCTTGTACCATTAATATCTGAAATTTGTTTTTTCTGAACAGCTTACCTTGCTGTCCACCTAAGAGTCTTTCCACTCCTTTGATCAGTTTATGGCGGTGTCCATATGCATTGATGCCTATTTCTTTCAACTCTTCATGACCCATATCAGCCAAAACATCTAGCGTAATCTGAAAAGTAAAACAAAATTAATTGCTAAATCTTTAACAGTTCCTCAGACAATAAAAACACTTCCATTTGTCTCCAATGCTATCTATGTATCCATTCAAATTAAGAAAATTCTTTTGTTTCCATTATAAGGGTGAACTTAAAATCTTCTTAAAGTTGTCTTGATAATTTTATCAGCTTTTTGCTCAGTTCAAATACTCCTTAACTTGCTTTTAGTCATTGGAGAATTAAAATGAAAGAAATAATGCTACAGAAATATAAAATGATCACTGCTATATTTCCTTTTGATTATTTAATTCTACCACCTTTTGCTTGCCTCAAGATACAAGAGGGAATGAACAACTAGTAGGCTTGAAAATGGGGAAATACAAGATCCCAGTAGCCAGCAGGTAGCAAAAATGAAAGGTGGGAAAATGGAGAGGTGTTGAGCACAATGAAACAGAATGTGGCAAAAGGAGCAAGCATATTTAGATAATGAGAATTTATATAAAAATAGAGAGGAACTTCCCAGAGCTAAGAAAAATTCAAACACAGAAAAAGCTGCCTTAGAAAGTAGTGAAATTTATATTACAAGCATTTAGTTAGATTACAGATTGTTTTATATAGAAGCTATGTAAAGAATTCCAATTTGGAGAAGAGAGTAAGATATATTTAAAATCCTCTTATAAACTCTCAGATTTAACAATTCCTGATGCCTAAAATACACTTTAGTTTTGTACAAAATAGTTGTTTTTAATTTTTGGTTATTCATCCCTGTAAATGGAAATGATTCAAAATTATCTAATTTTTTTGTTGACTAAAAGTAACTTGTGACTCTACCGCCACCGAGTGGCAGTGTTTTGAATGTACAGGGTGAAATGTTGGCCCACCACATTTCTTGAGGGCTGAACATGCAATTTTCCAGCTCAGAGGAAACTGGTCCTGTGACAATCCAAACACTACTTCACAAGATTAGCCTTTGATTTTTCTCTTTCCTTGGAAAACTGAGAAATCTTTTTAAAGATACCCCTTTTCCAACTCAAACGAGATATTTTTTATCTATCCATCGCTTCTCTACCTTTGTACTTGTACAGAACATTTTAAAAACTGATAAATGAGGCCTGGAGCTCTGCTGATTATTATTGTCAGAATAAAATATAATGAGTCTGATCTTCTTAGCACAACATGCATTCATCATTCAGTCTTTGGAAATAATTCACTATATTGCTCTTAAATGGCCATTTAAGAAATAATTGCTCCATTGCACAAAATGGGCAATTCACTTCCAATCACCCAAAGAAAGTCTTCAGCAAAGCTTTTAAAAAGCAACAGTTCTGAAATATGTATCTTTGAGTTACAACAGGAGCCTTTATATGTTTAGCTAGATGGAATTTTAATATAATTTGGAACCATGTACAGGGTTTACATTATTGATATCCCATTTTTTTCCTTCTAAATATTCTAAACCAGTTCAAATAAGGGTTGATATAAAAACAGATTTCATATCTATGTGGGAGCTTTAATTCAAGCAATCCTTAAGCTTTCCTGAATTAACATATAGTACATATCTGGAAGAAGCAGAAACCAGGTCAGCAAAACATAGTATTTGTCCATTATATAGCTCCAATCATGAAACAAACACCTCATTTACTCCTCACAATAACCTATGAGGTACTATCCATAAGAGGACATGTAGGCTCAGAGAAGTCATGAAAACCACCTACAAAAGAGCTGAGATGTACGGCCATTCCTCTTTCATTTGCTTGTATTTCTTAAAAGAGATGATTAGAAAGCTAATGTATCTAAAGGTTAAGTTTAGTTTCTTTGACTTATATGGTACTCAATCTGTCCCACAATTACCAGGCAGCAGCCACTGGAAAACCTTAAACGACAAGCTAAGGAATTCAGGTTCATGCTTATTTGTTTAATTACCTTCTATATGCTAGATAGTTCTTAAAAAAGTAGCTAATTCATTTCATTTCATTCTAAAACAACTCACGATAGCTCAGGAAGTTAAATAACTGGTCCAAAATGGTAGAAGAGAGTGGTGCCAGGAAACAGAGTACTACCCCCAAAGTTCAAGCTATTTCCTCTACCAAGGTGATAAAAGATCAACACAAACACATGCTAAATGTTTCTGGATGAGTCCCCAAAGGAAGGAACTCTCAGGAAGATTACCTACTTGGTCAAGGATCTAAGTAGGGTTCAGAAGGGAGGAAGGAACAGGAAAGGGGTCAGGAAAGGTTCTTAGAAGAAGGCAATAATTCAGCTAAGAAGGAGTTAATCAGGCAAAGGAAGGAGGAAAGGGTGTTTAAGACAGAGGGAATAGCATGTACAAAAGGAAAAACAAGTAAGAAAATACAGAACATTTGAGAGACTCTAAGTACTGAAGCCAAAATGATGAAAGTTTGATGTTCATAAAGGAATAGAAGAAGGGATGCACAGAGGAGCAGGCCAAGTGTAGATCTTAATGGGCTTCACATAACAGGTTAAGATACCTCTAAAAGGTCCTAGGAAGCCTTTCAGCAGAGTAACACAATCAAACTTGTATTTTAGGACATACAACATAATGCCACCATTGGCATAATCAAGGGCAGATTTGGAAGGGAGATGACTGTGAACAAGATGAAGATGGAGTGGAGTGGAAGGAATGAATCAGAGAGGGCAATTTCAAAGGGAGAGATGTTAAAAATTAATTTGATTGCTTGACAATTGGGCCAGAAGCAGTCAAAAACAGTTTAATACAAAGAAAAGTAATATCATTTGTCTGGAGGAAAGGAACTCTGCTAGTAATATACATAAAGTGGAATAGTCAACATATTGATTTTTAAAAAAGGATATAGAAAATATTCTTGCAAAAAGAAAATCCATGGAACCATTTACTCAGAACAAAACTGCAGTGACAAAGATAACAATGAAACTGATGAAGCCATGATACGCTGGCGAAAGGACTGACTGTAAGACTAAACTATTCGAATCAACAAAATGAGATAACCATGCCACAGGACATCAGTTACTGAAATACTAAATATATAAGGTGAAAAAAGAAAAGAAAACCAAATTATGATGCAAGCTGACTAAATGAGTTGAAACTGAAGTCTTCTGAAAAACTTTAACAGTCAATGAGAACTGTTTTTTGAATTAGGACTTTGTTTTATTAAGCAAAGACGTGAAATTTCAGTTATTGTGGACATAATCTGGGAAAAAGGGATATGGCAGGAGTATGGCTACAGTAGAGGATAATGCTTTTAAAATAGCTTTAATACCTCCAGTGAGGAAATAAGGGAAAATGATTCTTACGATTTAGGATATTCTCATGAAAAATCTCCAAACAAGAGGGTGAATCAATGGTAGGTGAAGCTTAAAGGCAAAGGAAATCATTACAGCAGTCTATAAAGTCCACCACCAGTCAGAAGACACATCTGATGCCTCATCAAAGCATATTTTAAAGAGTGGTTCAGAGGCACAGTATGACTGGGAATTTTAACTATCTGGACGTTTGAAGGTATATTTCACAGGTAGGGGAAGTGACAGGTTAAATATCTTACTGAATGTTACACAGCCCATAAAAGGGGGAAAATAATAAGAATCAAGGTCTTCTCTTAGTTCACAGCTTTTTCTACTCAACTGGTTTGATCATTAAGAGCATTAAAGATGAACTACAATAAATGATATAAAGAAATTCAGTTTAAAAAAGACAAGACATTAGAAAATCTTAACAGTATTAACTGATATGAGAAAGACCTGAGGTTTTAATTAACTCCAAATTGATTACAAGCCTACAAAGAAACCAGAATGGGCAAAGAGGCCAGTGAAGAATTTGGAAACCATGTCCATATAAAGAATTGAAAAAAATATATATATTTATCCTAAAATAGGAGAAACTTTGTATGGGTGGGCAGTTGGAAGGGTAAGTCCCTGATAAGCTGACTAGGTCTTAGAAATATATGAAGAGCTATATTATGTTGTAGTGAGCTAAATGCTGGCTCTCAAAAAAGTATGTCCATGTTCTAATTCTTGTAAAGAACCTCATTTGGAAAACTTTTCCCACATCTTTGAAGATGTAATTAAATATCTTGAGGTGAGATTATCTAGGATTAAATGGGTAGCTCTTAAATTCAATGCATGTGTCCTTATTAGAGACATACAAAGGAGAAGACAGAGAAGTCACTGTGAAGATGGAAGCAGAGATCGTAGTCATGTGACTATAGCCAAAGGGGCCCTCAACGAGGTGGTATGCCCAGCTGACACCTTGATTTTGAACTTCAGGACTCCAGAACTGTGATGGAATAAATTTCTGTTGTTTAAGCCACCAAGTTTGAGGTAATTTGTTAGGTAGTCCTATGAAACTAATACATATGTAGACTAGGGGCTAGATTTCTGTGCAGAATAAACGTAAACATAAAATCAATGAATTTATACATGGGGCAGATTTTGCCACACTTTAAATCATAAGCATTTTATTACATCTGCCCAAATTGTAATAAGTTATCTTCCTATATGGATGTTAAAAGGGTAACTCCTACTCCTGGGAGAATGACTTAATCTCCAAAGGCCATTCCCATTCTAAGAGTCTATGTATATCAACCACAGTCCATTTAAACTCAGGAACTTATTATTCTTCATTTCTTATCATTTTTTTAGATATAATTGACAATAACATATTGGTTACAGGTGTAGAACATAATGATTCCATATCTGTATATATCATGAAATTATTATTCAATGTTTAACACAGACCATGGTAACAAAATCATACAGTAGTAAACTTATCCTGTATAAGAACAGAATGACAAACAGATCTTAATTCATAAACATTCTAATAATGACTTCATACTAAGACCTTCACAGACACTTAAAATGTACCCAAAAACAGAACAGGTCTATGGAGTGTATGGCCAAGTTTTGGTTCAACATTGTTTTAGATACTACCTGGACAACAGAAACTTCAAAAATAGAACAGGTCTATGGAGTGTATGGCCAAGTTTTGGTTCACATTGTTTTAGATACTACCTGGACAACAGAAACTTCATAAAGGGTCAATTTTAAAAAGGTACATTCTCCAAGTATTACTTTGCTTTCCAATTTAATGGACAATTGCTTCATGCATATTTTGTTAAATACTTTAATATGAAAATGTCTCATTGGTTTTAAGTGGACTAGAGTCATCAATAATGAGATGAGTAAGTGTCAACAATTTTTGGAAAGAAAATAATGAAGATTTTGAAACATTCTTTTGAGGCAGTTTCACAGCTTAAGTTTTTATATGTAATAAAACATATAGAGCCAGAATGCTTATAAAGATACAACAAATAAACAATGAAAGACTCCCATCATCTATTAGACAATTTTGGAGAGAGATATAAAATACTGGATTTCCTTGGCTTCTTTAGAAATTTGTTGTGGGTTTTAAAATAGTGGTTAAGAAGCAAAAATGAAATGAATGAAAAATAACTCTTAATATTTAATTTAAAAGACTAGAGAGCTTACCTGTTCTGTTTCAAAGATGTCCCGAAGGTGTTCAAGACCAAGGCTTTTCAGAAATTGGCTGATATTCATGTCAAGCCCTGCAACTAAAACAGACATAGTTTCTCAGAGAACAGATTATCAAGCTAAAGGAAGTTCCAGTATTTTTAAAGCCGCGGCTCTCTGACACCCGTGGCTGTGCAGATGACATTACATAGCGTAAAATAATCCTAAGTTTCATTCAGACACTTCAAGTTATCTCTGAATTTGATCAAGTTAAAATTAAAACAGTTTAACTTGATCAAATCAGCAGTATTTATATTAATTTTAATATTATAGAGCATAACATAATGCTTTTAGTGAAATATTGAATGTAGATATAAAATTCCAAATTTACCAGCTATCATTTTAGTTTTCATGTCTTTTTCCTGATATAGTTCAGTAATAAGACTCACTCAGTAGTTCAGTAAAGTACTATGGTTGGAAATGGATGTACTGAGATACACATAAGTAAGAACAATGCAGATATCAAGAAATATATTCTATGAGGACATATTTCTTACAAGCTGCTGTACATATGAAAACTTACAGAGAGTTAAGATGTCTGTGAGATGTTCAATGATTACCAACAGAAAAAAGGGAATCTATTAATTAGAAAAACAAAAGACAAGAACCAAATAAGCATTCCCAGGGTACACTCACCTTCTCCTTCCTTCCTTTCGGTGCCCGCGGCGCCATCCCCCGTGTTGGACGCCCCCCCTACTGCCAGTTCCGCTAAAGGGACAGTGAGGTTATCTATGCTGCTGGCGGCAGACAGGCAGGAGGGGGTGGATGCTGGTGAGATGAGAGAGGCACTCACTACGGTAGCCTGAGGTTTGAAACAGGTGGGCAAGGCCTCCGGGGGCATGGCATCTATCAGCAAAGCTCGGATATCGTCGGCCTAAACATAATACAAAAAACACAACAGTACTACAGTTTGAAGTGGTAAGTTTTTCACTAAGTACCAAGTACTTTGTGAATTTTTTCTTTAATAAATGCCTCACTGTCCCCTATTTGTTATTAATCATTTCTTCCTCTCCTCTTCTCTCATCCGCAGCTCCAAAGGCCCAGCAGTTTCAGTAGGTGGAGCTGGAGGAACTATTAATTTAAAAAAGCATTTCATGTTTTGAACATCTAATGTATAGCCTGGTGACGACAGTTAAGAACACTGTATTACATACCTGAAATGTGCTGAGAGCATATCATAAGTGTTCTGGCCAGACACACAAAAAAAGGCTTAACTATGAAGAGAATCTAAGAATGTGGACTACGTTGATGCCTGAAAACACTTTTTTAACACTAACTGAAAAGTGCACACACAATTGTCCAGATTACACAAGTATTTAAAGGATATTTAAGTTAATAAAGACGTGAAGAGTTAAAAATTAAAGTATTTCATCTTTCATTTAAAAAAGTACATTTCAGAGTACTGATTTTCAATCTTGTGTTTAGAAGTAGTTTCCATATTTATTTATTGTATTTTGTTTATGCTTAAACTTTACCTGCAATAGTTTTTGTTCAGCTATTTAGTGCATACTTAATTTACTGCACAATTAAAATCTGGTGAAATTTTAAAGGAATAGTACTTTAATTTGGCTATTCATGAACTTTACAGTTTGTTAGCCATAACAGCTGTGAGAAGATGGGGGGACAGCATCCAAAGACAGCCAGCCATTAATTCCTTCCTCTGTGTACACGCACGTCTATTTCCCTTCCCTGGAAAGGGGTTGCCCATGAGTTGCCATGGCCAATAGGATGCAGAGGAAGTGATGGTCTGAGGCTTTTGATCCAGGCTTTAAAAGGACTGGCAGCTTCTACTTTTCCTCTCTTAGAAGGCACTCTCCATGCTTGAAGAAGTCTGGACTAACTTCTGAGTGATGCATACATATTATACAGAGAGGCCCTGTAGGGTGAAAGGCCATCTTGCATCTGGGTCCTCAGCTGCAGACTGCAGAACTACCTCACTGAACCCAGTCAACACACAGAACTGAGACATAATGAATCACTGCATTAAGCCACTCACTCAATTTTGATTAAGCTACTGTTTTGAAATCCTTTGTTACTTAGCAATAGATACATGAAACAGAATGTGGCTTAGAAATGTATTTCTGGCTTTAAAAACTGTAAGTTATTGTGACTGTTAGTAACTCCCTGATTTTCAGAAAGTTCAGGAAAGATAATGCTGTTTAACTTCATAGTTAAATAATATTTAACCACAAAAACTTAATTCTTAGTTTTGAAAATATTTCTACGATATATCAATTTATTTTTCCATCTTCAGAAGAATAATATACTGCCCAGAAGTTAATTTCTCTGACTACCTCAGAACTTTAAGGAAATTATCGTGAACAGCTGCTCTAGAATAATATGCCAAATGTAGAAGGTGTGAGGTATTTTACTAAGTGTAATTCTTTGAGAATACGTTCTAAATATGTGTTTTTCTATGATTCATCTTTCCCTCCAAGTTAAGTATGGCAGAAAGAATTCAGTTACTTTACTACTTAGTTTGCCTTAACAGAATTTTAAAGTATATAAAAAAAAGTGAATTACAAAAATTTCAGAAGGAAAGAAGTTCGTTCTTATTCTAAGTGAAATACGCACACTAAAGGAAAACCTGCTTAGCCCTGGAATGTAGCATCACCTCTGAAAGTATGAAAAGCAAGTCTGAGTGCTTTAAAATGAGCACTTACTGTTGCCAGATCTAACGGTGTCTGACCTTCCTGGTTCTTCATAGTTGGATCTGCTCCATGCGCTAGGAGGAGGGCACATAACTGGGTCCTTCCTTTTTGGGCTGCTTCATGAAGAGGAGTAAAAGCCCACTTATCTGTTGCATTTACACACGTGTTGTACTTTATCAACAATGCTGCTATGTCCACATGCTGAAGAAAAAGAGAATGTTGTGAAGAGGTATGAAAGATTACCTGGTAAAGCTCCATCATGTACACTTGCTTTTATCTCACATTTCAATTTCATTCCCTCTAGATTTCTACTCTCATCCTTAATAGAAGCTTCTTCTATAAAAGGACTATTTACCCCACCCCTCTCCCTGTAGTTTGGATTCCCTCCTTCCTTGCATCCTCCAGAATATCAGTTTCACAATTATTCTTTTACCCTGTAATTCTAATTCTTCATGGAAACATTCAACATTTTTTATTTAGCCTTCTAACATATGCAGGCCTATCTTAAAAACAAATATTTCTCTTTTAACTCACTGCAATCTAGTCTATTTATTGAAATACTTATTTCAAAGCTTCTCAATGTTCTGTCTTCAACCTTTGGGAAGGTAACATAACCCAACAATACATTTTACCAAAGTTAGTCTGTCATGTCCAAAATGACAGGGAGTGGAGGAAATGTCAGCAGTAGACACACTAACTAGTCACCTGGGCATGAGGTAATGAGATGCTGAACTGTGGACTGTGGTGGTCAGAGACGAAGGAAAAAGAAGAGCTAAATTTGAGAAATTTTGAAGGGAAAAAATATACTGGGTTTTATAAAGACAAATTAACTACAGAGGAAGAAAAAGAAAAGTCAAAGATGACTACCTTTGCAGGAAAAGTTTAAGTAGGAATGAACCTATAAAAAAGATAAGGTTCCTTGGGACACAGTTTTTGAAGTAAAATATGAAAGCCATGATGTTCTGTAAATGGTCTGACATAAAAGGCTGGAACATAGATAAGAGGGCGTCAGTTATTTATTCACTTACTCTTATCCACTCACCCACCAAGCAAACATTTGCTGAGCACCTACTAAGTGCTTGGCACTGGAGGTAGGGACTCGAGGGGAATGACAAAATGGAATACTGAGCTGAAAGCTGTAGCGACTTGATAAATGAGCTCATTAAGAAAAGGAATGCAGAAAGAGAATCACAGTGGGAGGGGTAAAGCCTTGAAAACAATATTTTGGGAAAAGAGAGTGGAAGACACAAGGGGCAACAAGAACAGTAAGAGAACTGAAAATAGGCAGGACTGTGGAAAACAATGTAGGAGAAGTTTCAGAATAGGTTCTCTCAAATAATAGCAAAAGGTTTCAGCTTCTTTCCAAAAGTCCTTATAAAATAAGCTTAAGACAATGGACTATGCAAAGGTAATACTGATTCAATGATCAGGCGATTGAGAATAGCAAAAATAAATTTTATTCTTACATACACATTGGGGGTGTTGGTTTGGTTACCACTAAGGATTTCTGAAACCCATTTCAACGCTGATATTCTATAATCTTTGTGCAACTGGCACACTGGTGTTCTTTATGGATACACTTCCTAGAATAATTTGATTACTTTTGATAATTAACTCAGAAGCACATTATTTGTTGAGAATAAATTTCTAACTCACGCTGTTGCCCATCTGCAATATACTGAGTTATCTGAGGCTAACTTTCATGAGAATGGGAAGAGACGGTGAAGGGAAGACAAACAGCCCAGGATGGGATTTAGGGCATTTCCTCATATTTTCCCTAAGACGGTCTTGGCTCTCTTAAAGATAGTCACTTCAAAAAGGAAAGGTACTTTTTTTCTGAGGTGGTATTAAAGTTTTTTGTTTTTTTTACATAATACAAATACTTATTGATTTTAAGAAAGGTAATTTGAGAAAACAGAGAAAAAGACTTATTAGAAAATACAAACCAGACAACTTCTAATAAAGCTTCCACATTTACTTTGACAATATAAGGACCAAAAAAAAGCATAATCAGGTTAGGGCTTCTGAGAACAGGATGTTTTGTGATCTTTTGGGGATTCTGAATGTTATCATAAAATTGATCTTAACACGAAGATAAAAATAGGCACCATCTACACAGTACTGTATCAAAATCACTTAAAACCAGTAATTTATCTCCCTTATTCAAAGTATATATGCTGAAAAGAATAGTATTTTTGTTCAGTTAACCAGAAAGTATGGAATAATTTCAAGCGCCTCAACAGTAAGATTACAGACTATTTAATTTGTGATTTTTATGATTAATTTTGTTATAATCCCATGGGTATTGGCAGAATAACATAATTTGGTAGACGAATTTGCATAGGCTTCCAAAAATAGATAGTCCAAGGAAAATTATGGGGGGGTGTGTCTATGTGTGTGTGTAAAATGAATTACTTATATGGTATGTATTATTAAACTTTCCTTACATGGAATTTATTGTTTATGCTCGGAGAAACCAGTTACGTGCTTTTAAAATTTGCTGACAAACATATGAAAGAGTAATAAACAAAAAGGAGTATATTACTCCTCAAGCACACTAAAAACACAATTCTTAAGTCTTTTAAATGTCTACACCACTGGGGCAAAAATAGAAACTGAAATTTAAGGCTGACAAATGCAATAAGCAAGCTACAGTTTGGTTCTATACAACAGATAAGATCAAGTATTAAACTGGAAGGTCTAGAAAAGGAACTGAACTCTTGGAAATTTCCAGGAGAAAGAGTCAATTTAATATGGTTTCAGATCCAGCTGCACCACAAAATGCTTTAAATGACGAGCACAATGTAAAAGACTGTGGGCCCTCACTGAATTTCAGAAAGGTGGCGAGCAGGGAGAAGAGAGCCAGGCCTGGATGACACGGGGGCGCGAGGGAGAGGGTGCTCTGGGTCTAGGGCGAGGAAGGGGAGGGTAAGAGAACGTGGAAACCACGTGACCAGTTTTTATTTCCAGTTTGTCAGGCGTTGGCAAATCTGGAAACGGCCCTCAATACTGATTCCAACTGTGAGAAGGCCTGGTATGTCCGACCTGGCGCCTGCGGCTCTTACAGCCAGACGGGGCTGCATGGACAAGCAGACAAGGCCCGCGCATTCCTGCTCTCCCGGCGACTCGCTGGGCCTGAAGGGGGCGCTGGCGGCCCCAGGGAGTCAGTGTCAACACGCCGCAGCGGCGCCAGGGCAGCCAACACAACCCTCCCTCTCGCCCGCGATCAGGTACAGCTTGGGGAGCACGACTGGGCCCCCACGGTGGGCTTTAGCTAGCCAATTCAAGCTCTGTGAAACCATCCAGACCAACAGCTCAACCACTCACTCGATTATTTTTAAAATGCTGATGATAAGCAACCACAATTTCCACGCCTCAAAAGAAGCCTCCTGGCTTTTATAGTTTCTAAAATCTACTTGAGTTAGAGTATTATCTGTATCAATAAACATTAACTGAGCAGGCCTTTTATACACCTATGATTGTGCTAGAAAATGTTGAAGAGACCAAAACACTACATAAAGTGTGGTCCTTGGCCAAAAAGCTAGTTAGGCTTAACTGGGAAGGCTAGAAACACTCTGAACAGGAGATTATAATTGTGTTAAATCATGCTGTTGGTTAAATTATGTATTTACTTCATACATAGTATACATTTAATACAATAGTAAATGTCAGTAAAGTTTTCTCTCCTTGAACTTGAGCATGCTCACCCCATAGGACGCTGCATTATGAAGAGGAATTAAGCCACCTTTGTCTTGGGCATTAACATCTGCTCCATGCTCTAGAAGATATTCAGCTACTTCCAGGTTATTGTAGCCAGCTATTAGAGTGAAAAAAGGCAAACATGTCAGCTTAAAAGAAAAAAAATATTTGTATATAAATAATGACCAGAAAAATGTTAAAGTTTTAATACTTTTGCTTTCAAAGCTAATACTCTTATCACATAATTAAGAGACTTTCCAGTAAGAAGTTATATAAAATCATGTCAATCAAAAGCATGTTACTAAGTAGTATTCTTTATGCTCAGCAATTCTTTCATCTCCTGGTAATTTGTATTAGGTACTAAAGAAAGAACAATGAGACCTGGATGTGCTCCTGATGCTTACCTGCCAAGTGCAGAGGGGTTGAGTTTCTGCCCTGGGTGTCTCTGCAGTTGATATTCTCTGGGGTGCAGAGCTTCTGCACTCTTGCCAGGCAGCCCTTCTTGGCAGCATCCAGCAAGGCAGCATCTCCTCTCAGTAAGTCCTGAATATCTGTGTCTCCTTCTTTAACCAAATCTAAAGGTGTATTTCCATCTCTGTTCTTTTTAGTTGGATCTGCTCCATGCTACAACGGAAAACCAGATGGGATTTGTATTTTCTGTAGTATCCTTCTTCAGGCTTGTTAATTTTTAACTCCACTACCACTCATCTAAGGAGAGATATCTATTCCATAGGCATTCTGAACAAGAGAGGCAGTACCCTGTTTTACTTTGCAAATACTTAGCAGGATACTGGATCAGCTTTCTAACTAACTACTCCTCAACCAAAGCCCTAAGTCTAAGGGTCAAGGGTGATGGTCAAATGGGGAAGGTGTTAAGTATCTGTTACTTTCCATATGATGTACTTGCTCAGACTCCAAACTGTCTTTGGAAACATCTTTTCCGTTTAAGAATGGTCTGGATGTTAACTTCGAGCAGATTTCAATTATATAAAGATATTCAGTGCATGTCATGAAAAAGAAGTGAGAAGAGGAAGACACACAGATAGAAAAAGTACTTGATTCTAAATGCAGAAGAAAGTCTGGTAATTTTATATCACATATACTATGAAATAAAGTAAATAAAATTCAAGAATCTTTATTATGACAGTCTGCTATTGGCCCACTGGAATAATTTGGAAGATATTAAGCTAGACAATGAATTCATAGTGACTTGGAAGTTATTTCTTACGAACCAGTGATAATAGAAATGTGCATCAAACACAGTGTTATTCTCAAGACTCATAAGAACATATTTGATACCAAAAGAGTTGTGAAAGAAGAACGTTATTTATATTTAACCAGGACAAGTTTTTCTCTAGTTTAAAAAAAAAAAGAGAGAAAACTACATATATACATGTCTGGCCATTCTTCACATCCTTTAAAAAGTACACAAAATTATTTAGTTTCATGGAACTATTAGTTTCTACTATTTCATGTATATCCTCAAAATTTATTTCAATAACTGTTTATAGAGATTATCTTATATTTTAATTACAATCTGATATTAAAATAAAGTTTTTATAAGATATATAATTAAATAATGTATAATAATGAAGAGTTTGTTAACAAGAATAAAATAGCCAGTAAAAAAAATATCAAATGATAAAAAAATGTTTCTTCTAGTACAAGTGTTTTCTGATATTAATACTATAAGTATTAGATAAGCAATGCAAACTAATTCAACTCTTTCCAAAACCTACCTTGATGAGCCATAATTAACTGAACTTAATCAAATCAGTTTAGAAAGGCACTTCAGATGCTACTCAGAGCTATGTAAGTATCATGACATCACACTTAAACATCCCCTAAAATGGAAAGTGGAAGCGTCTCTATGGCACTTATTGTACTTAACAGAATAATTTATTTTGATGTAGTTTTACATACTAACCAAAAATAAATATAATTACTTTATACTTTATAATTTTTAAAATTACATACTTTTAAAAGGAGCTTGCAGATTTCATATTTTCCTTTAGCTGCTGCTTCGTGGAGAGGGGTAAATTTCCATAAGTCTGCGACATTGACAGAGGCCCCATGCCTCACTAAAAGCTCAGCTACCTCATAGTGTCCGTATGAACAAGCATTATGAAGGGGCACCAAGCCACTAAACAGAAGAAAAGTATTTTTAAGACATAAAACAAACCATTTAACTCATTTGAGTTAAAATGATACTTATGATAAAAATAATGTAATTCTCCTCTGGTCTTGAAGATATGGTCATCCATTTCCAAATAAGGATTAATAATTTAAAAAATGTTCCTTTCAATATAAGGACTTCCCATAGTTTCTTGGTGATGGATATAAATTCAGCAATCCTTATCTTAAAATACATATATCCTTAAGATACATACATACACACTACACACACATACCAACAGAAAAAGGTTCCATCACAATACTTTTTATTTTACTGATTTAGAGAGAAGGAGGAAGAGAAAAACACCAATTTGTTGTTCCACTTATTTATGCATTCACTGGTTGCTTCTTGTATGTACCCTGATTGGGGATCGAACTTGTAACCTTGGTGTATCAGGACAATGATGCTCTGACCAACTGAGCTACCTGGCCAGGGCCTACATCACAATACTTTCAAGTCAGGTTTCATCCTGGCAACATAAAGTAACACTACAAAGTGATTCAGGAATAACTAATCAATAATTTGGTTAATCATCTCTCGAATTTTCTTCCATTTGGGTTTTCCTAATGAAAACTGCATGTTTATAAAATATACAATGCAATTAAGCTTATTTATTTAGGTAAGTTCTACCTTTTGGCTTTTATTTTTATGATTTTTGTGTGAAGGTTTAAATATTTAGGTGCTAAGCAATGAAAACTCAAAATCCAAGTGATAGAGAAACTTCAGTATTCAGTAAGGAAAATAATGGTGTCAACTATAAACTCTAGTCTGATGAGAAAATTTAGCTGCCTCATTATGAGCAAACTATTCTGAGGTGACTCTAAGTTCTGACGAGAAGGCTTTCTGACTTTCTGAAGGGACCAAAAATGTTCTCATAAAAAAAAGGGTGCATCAAAAGAATAAGTTTAAGTTGCACTTAAGACATGGCAAAAACTAGGTACAAGTGACTTTTTATTAGATCATGCTTTTTAAAAAAATGTTTTGAGATCAAAATACTAAGTGCTAAAATGGGAAATAGAAACAAATGCTGGTTGCTCTCCAATGCACTGTAATACTCTAAAAGAGCTAGATATATTATTACTGAATACTCATGTCTGATGTGCCCCTTTTAAAGATAAATAAATCCATAACAGGTAACTGAAGTCTAAGTTGTACAGGTTAATTCTATAACACTCTGGTAAGTAACTGTATAGAAAGGTGTTTACTTATTTATATTTTGAGATGATATGAAATTAACTCAGAATACGGAAGCTCATTTCAATTAAAACTTCCTTCTTGCATTTCTAAATAGCTTTCATGGTTGCTTAAAAAACTCTGTCTAGATAAACAGAAATAATTTAGTAAACTAATATAAAAATAAATGTGAATTAGTAAAAAAAAATGTTTCTATTAATACTGATGACTTTGGGATGGATGGAATCTTTTTGGAAGAGATTACACATTTTTAATGGAAAACAAGGGAAAAACAATAAATTATAAACTATACAAACACATTCACACAAGGCAATAAATACTATATATGGGCATTAAAAGGATGAGATAAACTATTAAGTACTGATAGGGAAAGATATTCAAGATATACTACTGGATGAAAAGAGGAAACTGCAAAGCAAACTGTTTGGAATGGCATCATCATTTATGTTAAAAACAACCATAATCCCCACAGCAGCACACACACTAGTATACATTTAAAAAATCAGGAGGATTACAACAAAATTTAAATGTTGTAATCTTTAGGAGGTGAATTTTCACTTTTTATACTGTATATTTCTATAATGTTTTAATTTATGCTTTAAACTTTAAAAAACATGCATTATTTTTTTTTAATAGGGTAAAAAATTGAAGACTGCAAAACTATTAAAATAATTTTTTTAAGTCTGGAAAGAATGAACCCTAAACAGCTGGATTCTACCACATACCCTTTGTCTTTGGCATGGACGTCGGCACCGTGGTGTAGAAGGTACTCCACAACAGACACACGATTATAGCCTGCCGCAAAGTGTAGGGGTGTAGAATGCCGGCCCTCTAAATCTCGGCAATTCACATTTTGAGGGCTGCAAAGTTGCTTTAATAGCACACAAACACAAAAACAACATTAATATTTAGTCACAGATTTTGCTCCAAAATACTGCACGCATCTTGTATAACTTGGAATTTTCTAATGAATATTTATTTCCAAAGGTTAGATAATGTAAGTGATGTTTAAAATTCAGCACTATGCTTGGTTTTAGTGTCTAGAAATTTTCTTCCTGTTTACAGAGCAATGGAATCTTTTTCACCATTCCCTGGCCAAAACCCTAACCAAAAAGAAATACCCATAATGAAGCAAGCATTTGCAAGGCAACTGGTGCCTTCCCTTTTTATCTTTATATAGCTTTTGCTCCGAGGCTGCTTGTTGCAGCATGTCTGCCTGTTTTAGCATCTCTTAGCCATTCTTCCCTCAAAACAGAGCAACCCTGCTTGACTGCAGTTACCCAGAGTTCTTGTCTCCTCTGACATGGCGAGCAGAAAGGCCCTGGAAAACTTATATGAATTCTGTGTGGGCCATGCACATGGCCCTGTGATCCACTACAGCAAGGCCATTTGTCCAGAGTGCTTTACTTGATCTTTGGGGGATGTTTGCCTAACTCAACAAGTCAAAATGATCCTAATCACATTCCAGTCTTTGGCTTTACTTCCATCTTCTTCAGCTCTGCCCTCCAAAGCTCTGCTGTCTCCTTTCCTCCTTGGGAACGTCACCACTGCAGCACAAGCTCCATTCTGTTTGATTATAAGCAGCAGGGAGCAAAGTAAGGGCTGATAGGCTGCATCATTGAGGTGACAGGTAAATTACAATAATACTGGAACAAACATTTATAATGTATAAAAAAGTCATATTCTTTCAGTGAATCACTATCTATATGAGACGGTGACCATTCTCCATTTTACAGATAATAAACCAAGGCACAGTGAGGCTAAGTGAAACCCTTTTCAGGAGTTGGTAAGGGGTGGCAGGGAGACTCAGGCCCTATCTTCCTGATTATTAATCTCTTGGTCTTTTTCTGCATGGTTGGTCAAAAACTAAGAACCTGTTTCTACTGATACACTAAGTAGGGTTTTTCACACTGGTAGGGTAAAAACAGGACTTTTCAGGTGGCACAATTTTTACATGACAAAAAAAAGTCTGGGCAGTAAAGGGAGAGCCCACACTTTGATCAACTCCATGCGGAAACGCACCAGACTGATTGTAACTTCTGAAGAACATTATCACCTGGTCAGGTCAACATCTTATCTCTCCATGAAAAGTGAGTCTGTGGCTACATTAATATATCAAAAACGAAAATTAAATAGAAACAAATAGCACAAAAACTAGAATGAAAGGCTGCAAAAGCTGCTAGTAAACACCAATGGTATCTTAGATGACTGAAGCTGCTTCCTCATGCTGCTGCTTTTTCTTCTGGTTCTTATTTTCTAAATTAACTTTCCCAGAGAATACTGGCAAAATAAAAATACAGAAGGGAATGAAGAAACAACTCATTTTGCTAGGTTACAAAAATGAAAGCCCATTCTGCTTATTAAATATTTGCAAGTCCTTTATTCTCTAGTCCGTTTCACTTTCTCTTTGAATGGCAAAGCAATTTTACATCCTTTCCACCTGCTTTACACCATGTCAAATATGTTGCTCAGCAAACAGCTTTTCTTCTAATATCTAATTTCTAATACTTTCTAAAGCCTCTAGGGAAAGAAATTCATCCGGCTTAATTCTCACTTAATTTGTGCTTTGCTTTCTTGTGCATTTCAATTCTATTAAAAAAAATATAGCTGGCCTTTATTGTGAATAGACTGTTTAGTAAACCTGAAAGGTGCAGATTATTTGCCTGTTACATACAAAACATACGGAATTGTTACTTTATTACATTAAAAATATAAACTATTAATTTAATTATAATGGGCAAATGTAGTAATCCTAGTGCTGAGAGTACCATGCTGTGGCACAGAAAAGGAGTTCTAATCATTTTTATATTTAAAGATTTTCCTTTATTAGGATATACTTCAAATGATAGAAGTATTTTTAAGGAAAAAAATATTCAATTTTAGATCTAAAAGAACTTGAAAATTTCTCTCCAGTGGCTATTACAACTGATATTTACTGTTTTTCTTTAAATAACTTAGATGTTATTATAAGATGAAAGAGACTGAAAGTAACTACATATTAAAACAAAAATAAAATTTCTAGGCCACAGAGCTTAGAAAGTGTTTACTGCCATTTTCAAATAGTATACTTCATCAAGAGTGCTAAAATGGGTTTACTAAAACTCACAAAAACAGAGTTTGCTTATTAATAAGTGACAAAGTTTAGTTTGTAAAAAATAATTTGGTATGACTGTCAATATCAATATTGCAATTGGCCTTTCTTAAAAAAATAAAACCCTTTCTGCTATCTTCATCCCTACATGAATGATTGTAGATGGGAAGTGTGTATGTTTTAAAAAGTATATTCGATAAAGGAATATAATTTTTATTTGAGAAACATTAAATCTATAACCTGTTTCTATACCACAAATAAAGGTTGATAAAATTTTCTTGGTAAGCAGAGTTACATAAAAAGGAAAATCTGTCTTCTGCATGCAGATAATTCCAAATGGTTGTGGGATCATAATGCTTTCCCAGAGCCAATGTGAGAATCTCTTGGAAAACTTCAAGAAACATTGTTCAAATCTTACTGAGCTTGAACTAGCTTAGAAATTTAAGAACACAGCCAAAAGTAATACTTTAATTAATATATGTGAAAATAAAAGAGCTATCACATAACCAGAAAAAAAGTGACTAAAAAGTAGTTTAATGGATACAAGGCACATACTAGGAAATTTTTGTGGTTAAATATCTCTCTTGTTTATGTATCTATTCTGCTCATCTCTGTCACTGTTTGGATTTGAGTAGTTTCACTTACAAGCTTTAAATGAATTGGTTAGCAGAGATTCAATAGCGCTACTCAAGACATTAAGCATTAACTTACCTTCACAGTTTCCAAGTCTCCAGCTTTAGATGCCTCTAAGAGTCGATAGTCAACATCAGAAGTACGTACAGGTGTACTTTCTACATAAAAGGAAGGAAAGATTAGTGTTGGTTTTCAAGGAATCACAGAGTAGTTAAGGAGGGAAAATTATCTGTTGAATAATTAAGGAATCAGATTCTAAGACCTAATATAGGGGCTTTCCCCAATCTTTTTCAAACAAGAAATAAGTGGTTTCTTACTTCAATTTATATCCATCTCATTCTAAGCCAAATTTAAATAAATGCTAAGACACATAAATCCGTCTCCAACTCTACTACTCTATCCTTCAAATTTTCTGGTCAAAACTTGGCAAAGGGAAATGAAGAAACATAGAGCCATGAGATCATGATCATCTTCATGATACATTGGTTTTACAAAGTGTTGTAGCAAAGCTTTGCTATGGATTTTGTTATGCAAACCGAGGGAAGCCACTCAACTTTCAGTACTTAATGTTTAGCCTTTCTTTTGGGCCTCAGTTTCCTCAACATGAAACAGAAGTACTACTCCTAAAATTAGTGATCTAAGAAAATATAATCAGTGTACAAACAATGCCTACTAAATACAGAAATTTAATTCACATTTATTGAATGGCTACAATTTAAAATGTCTGCAAATTGGGGATGTGATATAAATGCTAAGTAGAATATAATCAAATCAGGCTGTTAAGTCTACAAGTCTGAGGCTAACAAATGAAGTATTTTGATTAATCCAATAAAAACAAACCAAAAATTCATTACACATTGGCCCAAATAAAAAGTTTAAAAAAAGAACCAATCTTTCTATATCACTCGAAATACATTTCTGAACATTAAGTGTGGCTTTTATAATGTGTACACACACTCAGATAATACAGAAAAAGGACTGAAGTCCAGGAGACTAGATTGAGACTGGGCTCTATTAACTGTGATGGAAAAATTACTTAATAGCTTAGCTTAGTTTTCGCACCTATTAAGTGACTGCTGGTTTACCTTAAATTTCCTTTCAGATTTAAGATCACATTATGATTAAAGACATCTTTCTTGAGGCTATTGTACAAATAGGAAGATCAACTGATGCTAAAAAAAGGCTTTAGGTTTCAGAAGAAATACTTTGCCTCTTTCTAGTCTAAAATGTTTCATTCAAGAGAAAGGCTTTTACAGAGTAAGTTATGAGAACTTTTCAACAGAAGAGAAACGGTATTTATTTAGTTATACTAATAATAGTACACAGGTAAAATGTTAAGGTAAAAAGGAGGAAAAGAGAGTATTTCAAGTACACTTTTGAAATATCAAAAATCATTTTCTTTAAAAGAGAGTTTATTACATTGTTAGTTTGTGGAAGTGTTGAGGAAGGGAATCAGGTCTGGCTCATCTTTATATTCCTTGTCACATGGAGAACATTCAGAAAGCATTTGCTGAACTGACTTCCATGCTCTTCTATATTGGGGTCAGTGTGTATGTCAAACCTTAGCTCTTTGGCTTTCCCTATTCTACTGTGTCTTTCACATCTCATTTGCCTCCATTCTAGCTGTGCATGACATTACTGCACTTAAAGTGCATATGTCCCTATGACAGTGATTCTGGCAGTTGGTAAAACTCACTGAAAGAGTCTTAGGAAATCTACAGATAATACTTTTAGTTTATCATTTCAACAGAATAAAATGACAACTGTTTATGTATATAGTTAGAACTTTGGATATTTTCAGATCCTAGCATTTGAAGGATAAAAATATGGCTGAGTTTTTTAATTCTAAAAACGATGTGAAACTGGCACACCCTGTCTTGATGCAGACTGATTTGCAAAGGGTATAATTTTGCAATCAAACAAAAATTGTAATGCAAATATAAGATGTTTCTGAGAACTATGAGAAAGTCTTAGTCCTAGTCAGAGTAGAGAGTAAATAAGTTATTTAAAGATATTGATTAATTACCATACAAACATTGCATCCATTATAAATCCTGAACACGCTAGAGCAGATTCATTTTTAGAAACAATATGAACAAATACACACACACACACATACACACACAGACACACAGTCCAGGAACTTCATACAAAGAGATGCACAATTTAAAAAAAAAAAGGATAGCCCAGCTGGGTGTGGCTCAGCGGTTGAGCATCAAGCTAGGATCCAGGAGATCGGGGTTCGATTCCCGGTCAGGGCACATGCCCGAGTTGCAGGCTAGGCAGCCGATCAATGACTCTCTCATCATTGGTGTTTCTCTCTCTTTCTCTCTCTCCCCCTTCTTCCCTCTCTCTGAAATCAATAAAGATATGTTTTTAAAAAATTAAAATAAACTTAAAAATTTAAAAAAAGGATGTAAAAATGAAGTTAAAAAGGAAATATAGGCAAAAGAAGACTAGCTGATATGCAAACTACTGTATTAGTAAAATCCTTTATAAGCACACTGGCTTTTGTAGAGGGTGAAAATAAATATTTCACCTAAGGTCAAAGGCTGGAGATAGATATCTAATTTTTTCTCCAATTCTATTCTGTCTCACCAGAATTAAAAAGCAAATAAACAAACAAAACCCTAAAGTTTCAAAGCCTGAAAGGCAGTTGGCTATTTCTAAAAATCTCCTGTAGACTTGTTCAGTTAGTATTAAGACTATAGGACTGGCAATAGTCTTAGTGGCTTATTTCAAGGTGCAAATGCAAATGGGATTTTCAATTTTAATTTAGCTATCATAAGTCCCCAAATCCTTACCCCTGTAAAGGATTAAGTAAAAGCAATGCAATAACCACAATGGAATACAAAATCAGAAGAATTCAGGTCAAGATCTGTTCAAAAGAACTGTCTGTGATGCTAGAAATACTGTGCTAATACAGTAGCCACCAGCCATGTGCGGCTATTGAGACCTGAAATGTGGCTAGCACAACTGATAAATGATTTAAACATTTTATTTAATTTTAACTAATTTAAATTTAGCCACATGTAGCTAGTGGCTATTACCAACTGGATAGAACAGGTCTAGAGAAAAAAGTCCCATCTTCTAAAATAATTTTAAAATGCTCATTTATAAAAAAATAGCTTCTTTTCTTTAATCTGACATTAATTTTGACATAAATATTGCCAGCAGTTTATAATTAAAACTTACTGTCATTTTCTTTTTCTCTATATATTATAGTTCGGACATTTAATATAGGTTTTTGGAAGGTATTTGTATAGTTAGACCATATTATTTATGAATCATTTCTGGATAGTAAAGGGATGTTATAAAATACTCATTATAAAAAGGGGGCCCGGTGCCTGATGGAGTAAAGGACTGGACTATAGGTAGGAATAAGAAGTAGGACTTCTGATCCCAACTCTGCTGCCTTCCCCACTTTACTCTTCCAGTTTATATCATTCTGGAGCAGATAAATTCCACAGACAAAATTTAAGAAATGAGAAATAAGGGTCAATTATATGAAATTTCTTTTGTATCAAGTTCATCATTTTTCAGTAGATGGACTGTGTTACTTGGCCTAATTTTGGGGCTTGGGAAACTAGTGCCTATTTTCATATCAGTCTTATGTATAATCTGCCTCAATAAACTAAGTACTTAAAGTATCAAACACTGTACTAGGTAGGCACTGTTAACACTCAGCCAGGTTTTATAATTATATTTAAACCAGGAAAAGACAAGATAATTTCATAAAAGTGAAATGAAGTTAAGAATTACAAAACACAGCACTTTTATGAAATTATCTTGTCTTTTCCTGGTTTAAATATACAATTAATTAAAGATCATTACCATATGAATGATCTGTAATTTTCTCTATTGATAGATTTTAGAGTTACCATAATTCCACAGTGCTTATATAAGCTTTAACTAACTTCTGACTGTAACACACATGAGTCAGGTTTTTAATTTAAAAAAATTAAAGAGAGTATTTGCCTGTTTCTCATGACACCTATTTCACCTCACCAAAAAGGCAGACTGAGAGGGCCACGGGCTAAGCTAAAAGCAAGGAAGACAAGAAAAATATTCAAATGAACAAAACAACATTCCAGGAGCTTCTGAAAACAGGAGGTACGAAGCCTGCGTGTGCTCTCAGGGGCTGGGGGAGAGAGTGCCAGGGTCAGCTCCGCGAACCCACCACTCAGGATCTGCTGCACTGCTTCGTTCCCCATCTGCGCCGCCGTGAAGCCTTGCAGGGAGATGATGGAGGGGTCCGAGCCGTAACTCAGCAGGAGGCGGCAGGTCTGCAGGTGGCCAGCGAGGGCAGCTCGGTGCAAAGCAGTCTGACCAAGAGTGTCCAGCGCGTTCATCTGGAAAGTCATGGGGTGGGCACGTGAAATCGAGCATCTCATTTCGTTCCCTTTGATACTCAAGCAAAAACATTCAAATGAGAAAAGGCAATTGTCAAAACTTTTTGAAAAATGCCACAGATAATGATTAACTACGCTCACTGGTTCTGAAGAAATATCATCTTCTTCAGTTACCCTTCTCTGACCACCTTACTGAAAATTACAACATACCTATTCTTTCCCTAAATGACCGTCTTTCTGTCCATCCTCTACTTCCGGCCATTCCCCTCAACAACTAGAACGTGGCTGGAACTTTGTCCGATATCCACTGCCTATCCTATCAAATACTTTTGGATGTGTTTTATCAAACTTGTTCTCAGAATATAAAAACAACAGAATAGGTAAACAAAGAGAGTTAAAGCAGTTCATTAGATTTCTCTTCTAGTTTTAGTAAATAATTATAATAAAATGCCCTAGTTGAATTACAAACACATTTAACAAACAAAAAATGATTTGAAGATTCAAATGTTCCATTTTTTAAAGTTTGAAGAGTTCTAAAGAATAGTTATTTAGCTAGTTTTAAGACAAGGAGAACATTAAATTTCTGGATCATGTTTATAATTTGATCAAACCTAACTGGTCCTAACCTGTTTTCCAGGATGCCCAGTAAATCCTTTCTACTCTAGTCAGACCCGAGTCCATGTTCACAGTTCATTCTGCTACATCAGAGGAGCCCTTTCTGCCTTTCTGGATTATGAGATCCAGTGAAAGTCTCCCCTCTTCTAAGAAGCCCGCCTTGATTATATGAAGCCTCGATAATTACTTCCTTTCTGAACACCTACGTCAATTCAGTGCTATCTTAAAAACTATAACATTGGGATGGTTTTTGTTTACCAAGTAAAACTAAGGTCATTGACAATACGGACTGTATTAGGTTTCCTGAGCCCTCTAGGAAGTCCCTGCTAATGGCGCACAGTAAATTCTCAAGTATCTGCTTGCTGGTTATGCAAAACACTGTGCACACCTACCAAATGCACGAGTAAGGAAAGGTCTAAGCTCTTCCTGCCTTTAGTCTTTCATCGTTACAAGTAAGGCTGTCACACTTGTTTAAGCAAGGGTTCATCTAAATTCTTAATGGTGTTTCACAAAATTCACCGTGAAATACTGACATATTTAATTATAGCACCTTTGCTATCAGAAAAATGACTGATTACACACACACAGCATAAAAGCACAGCCATTAGCAGGTACTGATGGAAAACACGAGCTGCCAACCTGAACTTCTTGAATTTTTCTCTGAATATTTCTTTAGTATTTTTTCACCACAGGAGAAAAACTTAAATTCGAGAATATTCTAATTAACATTTCTCTGGAAACTGGGTAAGAAACCCACTAAATTCTTCAATTACAGTGATGAAAATCCCCAATGCAGCTTGTTAAATCATGGGAACATGATTTGAGAATTATTACTCCAAAATAGGGACCTTACCAAGTTATTCCTCAGCTTAGTGACTCTTCAAATAAACTTGAATGAATCCCTCAGCATGTCATTTGAGACCACCCATAATTTACTTTTACACCACCTTGTTTTATACTATATTTTTCCATCACCGTTTGCTAGGGCCACGCTCCAGCTTAATCAGATTATACTGAAGCCCCACTTTATGACGGTTAGTTTCTAAAGTCACTGCAAAAGGTAAAATACTCCTTTGGTCAAAATTAGCCTTGGAAACACCGTAGCAATGCAATGGGAGAGACAGACATAAAGCTTCTTGGTAAATTCAACACCAGCCAGTTTACCCCAGCTTCTGAGCAGATGGACTAAACAGCAGATAAAGTACAGAAAGTATCTTTAAACATTAAAAGCACACTATGTGTAAGAAGAGGTTCTCTCTGTAAATATGTATGGTGGAACTGAGTGCAAACAAAACAGCAGATTCACTTTTCCTATCTCACTCACTCTGGGGCATGCACTCATGGAGTGAAACACTGGGCAAAAATCGCCACTCTCTAAAATTGTTTAAATTACTATTTCTCCTTCCTCTCCATGTTTCGAAAGGGGTGGTCCAGGGTGCAACTCTACTGTGCTCCCTGCGCTCTCATTTCTCTACCGTGCTCTTCTCTCTGCTTCATGTTCCTTCCCTTTGTATGTACCTGTCAAAACCAGAGCTAAGCTGTTTATCTCCTAAGAATTCTCCTAAGGGAGGGAGAGATGAAACTAACACTTACTACTCTTAGGCTCTGTTAGGTGCTTTTTGTAATTTGTAAGCTATTTAAAAGCAATGACTATGACAACCTTAAATGTAACTTCTCCCTCTACTTTCACCCTCCCCAAGAAAAAAAATGTCTAGGGCATAGTTGGAGCTTCAGAAATGTCTTCTGAATGAATTTAAAAAATAGAGTAATGTGTAAATGGTTACTAGAATTAATTTATAAAGGGAACTTTTTAGCTAAAACAATCCCAACCATTTGACGAGGACTGCCTGATAACCCTAGAAAGCTAAAATCTTGATCATATACAGAAGCTTTATTCCCTCATCCCTGTATTTATACACATGAGGCAGTTACTCATCTCTATAGTAGGATTATATTCTAATATTTCAGAAAGCCCAATTTCCTTAAAGTACAAGACAGACCAGAATAACACAAAATTCTCTGCTTTAGTGAACGTATTTTTTATTATGAAAGAACACTAATTCTCCCTCAGACTCGAAATGGTATCAGCAACAAAGAGTATCTATGCAGTGCTTCATCAGACAACAAAGCGGAGGCACTACAGGGAGTCACTGAAAGTATCAGCGAGTAATGGAGCAGAAGCACTCATTCCTGGCAACGCGCAGGACGGGGACAGTGTGATGACACTCTGTACAGCCACTTAGGACGACAATGGACAACGGGAAACACTGAACCTTCTGTAAGGGCTTTCGTGAGGAGGAATTACTCCTTGCAAGACACAAGTGTCATCAATTTCTCAGGCCCAACAATCTCAGGACTCCAGGCTTGTCCCTCTATGGTCAAAATGGGACTGTGGCAGCTCCACGCACCAACGCCATACATTCTTGTCCAAGGCCAAAAGGCAAGTTTTTAACATCTATTTTAAAAGAGAAGCCCAGCAGGCTTCTTCTCTTCAGGGCTGGAGCCAGAAATGTTTCCTGCACCCAAGCTACACTAGTCCCTAGCAAGGAGAACGAAATTACCAGAATTGCTTCAGGCCCAGCCTTCCCTGAAGCTCCTATGCATGAAAAAAAGTTCAATAGAACAAGCTGCAAGCTATGATCCATGGCTCTGATCAAGTCCCACCAGTGGGACTGCCTGCAAACTAAGAACGCTTTTCACATTTTTTAACGATTATATTTTAAATGGCCATATAAATATCTCTATATAATCGTCGATTGTGTCTCAGCCCACAAAGCCTAAATATTTTCTATTTGGACTTTTAAAAAAATGTTTGCTGACCCCTGTTCTGAGGCAAGGAAGAAAGGAAAAAATAATTACTGGATAAAAAAAATCGACTATCTGCTTGTGTCATTACAGATCTTTAAACTGATTCACAATTGAAAAAAAATGTAAGGTTCCCAACTTTCTCTCATATTAATACTTTTAATGTTCTACCTTTGTTTATCCTTTTACCACGCAGTCACAGGATAGAATCAGGGGTCTCTAAAAAGTGGTCAACCTTCTTTTTTCTTCCAAATATTCTGGCGTGGTTTAAGGCACAAAAGAGCAAAATGTGTGTGTCTTCCACAGTAAGTATATATTTGTTTTCATAGGGCAGCAGTAACTGTTTTACATGGCTGCAGTTACTCAATCCCTGGTTTTTTAAATGAGTAATCTGGAAGGATTTGTATTACTGCTCTAATTCCGTTTCACAGTGAGGAAAAGTGATATTTTGGAGCTAGTGTAATTTTATTTCACTGTGATCCCAGAGAATTATAGGGAACTCTAATTGTTTAAAGAAGATTCTCATGAGGTTGGATTTATTACTCTAATCTCTACCATTCTATAAGATAAATGGCAAATGATAGTAATTCACTCTATTGTTGGAGAAATATAGATTAAATGACTTGTGCATGACATCCACAATACCAATACTGGAAGCACTAAAAAAAGGCCAACTAAAGGACAGAATAGAGCCTCTGACCTGGAAGATCTCCGAGAAAACACTGTTTTTTATATTCTTGGCTTTGACAATTTTGACTCACACACTGACCATTACTCACTAAGGCAAAAAAACATAGGCTTAGTAACATTTAAAATATTCTTTATACATAAGAATCAAACTCTTCAAGAAACAAAGAAATATAGTCTAGTATTATACATATATTTAAGTGCCTCAATGGTCATCAAGCTGAGTTATTAAATAAATGTGATTGCCACTCGCAAGGATTCTTCTAGAACTTTCAAATCAAATGTATATGTATTGCTGTCCATAATTTGTTTTCAGCCTAAAATATATACTTGACAGATTTATTTTATATACATCACCATCAATTTACTCTTCATATTTTAAAGACATACAACTTTAATTCTTAATATTATTTGGACTACCAACATACTTACTTACTGAAGAAGTCTGGAAATGTTAAATCAATTTTTCTGATCAAGTCTTTTTTCAATCCAGTCCTATTTTCCTTTATCGCAATATCCACCACAAGGACATGATAGAGGATATCATCAGAAATGCTTACCATTCAGCTAAAGAGGCTATTTTCACTAAAGTACAGAAACTGCCCCAAATAAGAAAAATGCTACATTTAATGTGTTATACTCCAATTGTGGGAATTAATTGGGTAGGAATGGCTTGAGATATATATATACTCAGAAGGTGTCAGGAAAATAACAGATGTCTGGGAGTTTTAGAGACAAAACAGATTCCCCCTTTTCCCTTTTGTATCTAGAGACAGCAACCTGAGGTATTTATCTTTATTTCTATGTGAGTAGTAATAATGATTTTCCTAAAGAGGCTAATTGGATAAATGATATAAATTCCACTGGCATTTGGTTTAAAATATATAGGACAT